ATTCATTCATTCATTCATTCATTCATTCATTCATTCATTCATTCATTCATTCATTCGAGCATTCGTTCAGCCAACCGAATTGTCACAACGGCAACCAATCAAACAATCAATCGTCAAATAAGTGATGAGTTCAGTCACTAATTCCCAATGCTGCGGATATCCACTCAATGGTCAGTCAATACAAGTCAATCAGTCAATTATTCAAGCATGCATTAAGCGTGTCTGTGTGCCTCTCACTCACGTATCCTCCCACCTTGATGGACAATTTCATCCTGTCCTTTCGGTCCTGGCACAAATCCTGTCTCTTCGGAGGGTTTCGCCAATCTGCCAATCTGTGGACATGTTTTTCATTAAGATTTCCCCATTCTAAATCACACTTAGAGGCTTCGCTGAGAAGCTGCTCTATGGCCAACACATTTTCTCATGTGTGAATCCTAATAGGGCAGATTTCGCCTCGCAGAAGCAGTGGCAAGACGACGTCGAAAATCCCATTAGCTCAGAGTGCACATTACGGCCAACTTCGATTTCGTCATTCTGAGCCTCTGTCTGGACCGTTACTCCGCTCGCATTAATCCTGAAAGCGAAAAACGCAATCTCTAAAGTTGGGAAAGTGGCTCCAACAAGTTTGGCACGAGAAACTGCAAAAGTCATTAGAATTAATCTGTCTTGGAGACATAAATTTGTCTACACTGTGATGCCACTCGCCCACCCAACTATGAACAACCGCTCAGCATTCATATCCGCCTACTCTTCTCGTTGCTAGCCTTGCTACCTTGCTTTCTTTATATTCATTTACTCATCCATCTATCCATCTATCTGCCTAATTATCTACACATATGCATTCACAAGCACGTAAGTATGCATCTCTATCTACAGACATTCATACAAGCATGAATACTTGCATAACTCCTACCTTCTCACATGTCTCTTTGTGTGTCAATGCTGCTTGCCTATTTGCCTATACACATCTAGTTCCTTGGTAATTTGCTTCTATATTTAAACGAGCAAATATGTGATTAATTAAAATAGCAAGCTGAACAGGCCTACTCTAGCGATTTCACGATAATTACATAATGAAGTTGTCCATTCGCTTTGCTGCCTCCTTTCCAACTGGTCAACTCATGGCTGTGATTTGCATATTCGGGCCTAAATTAAACGGCAGGTTGGGTGGCTATTCCAGAGTTGACGTCAGCAATTTCAGCTCCATCACGGCTGTTGGTTGGCTTGGAGGCAGAGCAAGGAGTGAGTGGGTTGTGTTGAGATAGGGAGAAAAGGGTCAAAATCGGGGCTGAAATGT